AAAGGAATGTAAACCCTTACTTCGAAGTTTTCGTCGATTGGTGCATCCCAACTGCCTAGCTGGGGTCATAAGGACGATGAACACGTTTGGTTGGACACAATTGCTGATATGGCTAGGATCCGGTCCCAATGGCGTTTGTGTTGTGAGTTCCTTTGTCCACCTCCTCCCTCTTAGCCTCCTCTTCCAATCACGATCTCATTGATTAGGCGTAATATAACTTTTTGTGGCACGATAGTCGGTTGTCAGCTTTCCGGAACGATTCCCTTTCGTTACTGGGGAATCAGCCGGCGTGCCTCTTGTTTTTTCTTCTTGTCTTTTGTATTGCGGCACAATAATTGAGGTGTTTTCCACCTGCAGCTAACGCATATAATGGTGATGATTTTAGGTCAGATCGGCCAGTAAGCAGCACTTACTCTCCCTCTTCACTCTCTTGGTATTGGTGTGTGCTCTGTCTCCGAAGCACGCATACTGCATAACGACGTCGTGACAAACCTTCGACTTCATGGTTCTTAATCAGATGACGATGGTTGCACTCTTTGCGTCTCTAGCAATACTGATTCAATGACTAAAGATATTTACGCCTTTGGTATCCATATCAGTAAACATGCTGGAAGCGATCTACTCGACTGCATACCGGTGAACAGCCGCATGTGTGCGGTTCGACTTCGAACCTTTTTTGGAGTTAATGAGCAGCGTCCAAAGACAAGGTATCTTTTCATCGCATTAGTTAATGCCCCTACTGAATGCAGTTCAACAGCTTTCATTTCCTCGCATGATGTAGAATACCTACCTCTTGATTGTTGCTGGTCGCATGAATGACCAAGTGTGTCGTCTTTCCGACTACGAGTCCATTTCGGAGTCGATGCATGCCGAAGAGACAGTGGTAATCGATCCCTCTAACTATGCTCCGACCAAAACCTCAGCGGCACTGTTTTCCAACACAGATACACCGCGTCACATGGCGCCCACCAATTTCCTCAATGATCTTGACCTAAAGTGATCATATGGTGCACATCAGTCTAAGACTGTCGGTCATTTTGGATCAGGTGCCTGGATTCCGACCAGGAATTCAATGGAGTGACTTTGCTTAAGCCAATCAGGTTTGGAGGCGTACTGATCAGTAGTCCCACCCCAAGGCCTCGATTACTGTAAGCGGTCCTTTCCACACCAGAGGAGCGACAAGCACTTATGCGGTTTGCTTTTAAACTAAAAGCTTCTGTATTCCGCATGTTGCCGGACTTTCCCCTAGCAGACAGGAAGAAGTTAAAAACAGCCATCCAAGACCTTAAGGCACGTTGCGTGGCGGGGTAAAGCGGTCTACGCTTGGTAGGTTTTCGGGTGGGGTGCTGGCGGTCCACTTCCGTCATGGCAGAGCCCATTCTGGTGGCGCACGATCCTGGACTTACCATACCAAAACCCTTAATGTAGTACTCAGCAACGAGCGTAGCCTGCGTAACAAGTTGTGCGAAATTGGTGCTCTTGTAGACCACTGTCACCCAGATGTCCTCGCTTTCATTGAAACATGGCTGTTTGCGGAAGTCACGGACAGTGAAATATTCCTACCTGGCTACGCACTACTGAGGTCGGATCACCCCTGCGACCGTCGTGGTGGTGGGTTTGCATTCTACATAAATTCGAGCTAAAGTATCTCCAAGACATTTAAATTCCACACAACGGATGGGACCCTAGAAGCCCTTTCGGTTGAAATGTGTACGCTGTGTTTGCAATTTAAACTTGTGTTAGTGTATAGAAGTCCTAATAGTATTTCTACAAGTCACTTTGATTTTATTCGCGCTCACTCTACAAACCGATGCTTGGTGATGGGGACAGATTGACTCAAACTATCCTTCGAGACTGCGACTACCGGCTTAGCTGCAGGGCTCATGGAGTTGATGCTCCAAACCCCCTACATCAGTTTGTAGAACAGCCAACAATGTTTATGAAGGGACAGTCTCCGTCTACTCTTGATCTTTTCACAAAATCGCTTTTACTTCGTAAGTAACATAGTTTACGGTCAGCCACTTGGAGCTAGTGACCACGCCTGCATTTCCTTCGAGTGCGCTATCAATAGAGTCCAAGAGAAATGCGTGGCCAGACGCCCAAACATCTGGCGTGCGGATTTTCAGGCAATACGATCCAGAGCTGCCTTGTCACCCTGTACCATCTTGGCCGCAGATTTTATACAGACGGCATGCGAGAAATTCATTGCATTCCTCTCTGAGGTGTCCCCTCCACACATTCCACTTTAATTTAGGAGTAAAGCAAACTCCAAAGCACTCTGGTTCGATCTAACCGCACGTCAACTGCTAAACAGGCGTGCCAAGTGTTGGCGGTGTTACCTTACAACTCTGTCGGATGTCTTGCGGTGTTATCGAACGGCACGGAACGAGTGTAAGCAGCACCTAAGGGATGCCAGGCTTTGTTACGAATTGGATCTAGCAAACACAACTTCAAGCAATCCGAAGCGATTTTTCGCTTACGTCAAAAGATGATGTCGTGCAGATCCATCCATCCAGGTGTTGCGCGGACCTGATGGGGTTACTGCGCATACCGACCACGATAAGGCCTGCCTTCTCGGCGAGCAGTATGCGAAAACATTTACTCTTGAGTCTCCTTTAGATGAGAAAGTTCCGACAGACTCTTTGTTGACCGATATCACCATCTCAGAGGCCCAGGTGCGTTCACTGCCGCGAGAACTGAACCCTAACAAAACCGTTGGCGTTGATGCCATTCATCCAAAATTGTTATATGAACTGGCAAATGAAATTTGTTTGCCCGTACCTTGCCTGTTCGAGTAGTCTCTTTCCAGTTGCACCTTACCCACCGACTGGAAAGAAGCTGTAGTTTGCCCTATCTTGAAAAATGAAGATAAGCATCTTCTTGTACACTATAACCTCTGTGCTGGTTAATTTGCTAGAAAAGCTGGTGAGGGATGCCCTCGAAAACCATTTAAGGCATTTTGGCCTTCTCAACATGGTTTTCGCAAAGGCTACTCTTACCTGACCAACTTGGTGGTTGCTCGGGAAAGTTGGGCGGAGTCTGTCGATCAGGGTCAATCAGTGGTGGTGCTATTCCTTGACTTCTCCAAAGTGTTTGTCTCTGTCCCGCATACTGGTCTTTCCCTTAAGCTCCGTTCCTATGGAGTTTCCGGGCACGCGATTCGATGGCTATCCTCATTTCTCGAGAGGCGTGAGGTATGTGTTCGGGTGGACTCCAGTCTTTCTTTTCGACCAATAGTTCTGAGCAGTGTCCTGCAGGGATCCGTTCTTGTTCCACTACTATTTGCTATGTACGTAAATAAACTGCCATAAGTGTTGGAGCTGCCTACCCACATGTTCGCCGACGGCTTGAAGTTTTGGTGCACGGTGGCTTCCAAGTTCTGCAACTGGCTCTTGACAGACTCCTCAATTAGTCAGTTCTGTGGCAGATGCCAATAAACTACGGCAAGTGTTCAGTTTTGCGCATAGGATCAAGTGGTCCGACAACGCACTACATGCTTGGCGATAATGAAATTCCTCACGTATCCCAACAAATTGACTTAGGGATCACTTTGTCTCAGGACTTTAAATCCAGCGAGAACTGGAAGAAAGCGTCTTGCAGGAGTTTTCAAACCCTTTAGATGATCCTTAAATCATTTGGGATCCTAACGGAAGAAATGTTTGTTAACTTGTTTACGGCCTTTGTTAGACCTCACCCGGAGTATTGCGTCAAGGCTTGTCCTCCATGCCTGACTCGTGACGGGATGGCGGTAGAGCGGGTCTTGAGAATCGGAACCAAAATGGTCCACGGGTTGGGGCACCTGTTTTATCTTGACAGATTGCTCAAGCTAAGGATATTTTCGTTACATTATCGTCATCCTCGTGGCGACCTGATTCTCACTTATTGTTTCCTGACGGCGGATAGTTCCAGACCTTTCTTAGCTTTTTTATCCTATGCAGTTACCTACTCTCCGCGGGCATCCAATGAATTTTCACAAACTCAGATCTGATCGAGTTCGGGCTGACACACGTTTGTCACGCCGAGTGATAGATTCTTGGAACGCACTACCTGAGGACCTTATCTTGTCATCCACTGTGACAAAGTTTAAACGTCGCCTCGACGCCCTCAACTTGCAGCTCCGAATCTTCCCCTTCTCCTCTTAATTTAGTTTCTGTTTGCTCTCCAGCTATCTTCCTTCTTATTCACTCTTGCTAACTTCATTGTCCTCTATTGTCCCCTTCCGCGTTTATATCTAGTCTATAATTTTCTCTTCCTTTTGTTTCACGCGGTTGGCGCAGCGAGGACTGCTAGCGCAGGGCACGTGGGGTTTTGCTTGGTTGACCATGATTTGATTGGTACGTGCTGAGTTGGCTCCCACAACTAACCGATCTTTCCATCGCATCCTAACGTGGACCAACGTCGTATACAGCATGGAATGGCCATGGGCATTTCCTTTTGTTCCTGTTCCATTTGAATTTGAAGTCCATTTTCATAACCACTACATTTCGCTTTGCAGCTTCCATTAGCTTTGATGTCTGCATTCTGCTGACTTGTCTTTCTGCTTAATAATAATACTATTATGTCAGCTGTACGCCGTAACTGTGCTGCGCTGCTGTGCAACCACCACCAGTTGCACGCCGGCTGAGTATGCCGCGAGGACGCCTACTCCTACGCGGATTCCAACCCGCGCCGCAAGAGTACGAGACAAGCTCGTTACCTCTAGGTTACGGGCCCACATTTGGGTGAAGTTGTGCGTTTTTTCACATCAATTTTTTTAATTATCTGCGCACCGTTCTTGATGCATTCATTTTCTCCTGTTGTGCGATTTCTATACCAACGTTTCTGCTTACTTTTCTCTAGGGGGCGTGTAAAACGGTTGCTGATTTTAATTTCCTTCCATGCTTTTGAGTAGTCTCCTTATCCTCGCAATATGAGGGTACATATATCGGCAACGGCTCCATTGTTCCGCCGTTAGCATCCGCCTGCGTTTCCACGTCGCATATTTTCGAGGCGCCACTTGAATGCTACACAGGGGCTTGGTGGCTGCCCTGTTTTTTCAGTTCCTTCTCGTTCCAGCCTCCTCTGTACTTCTTCCTGATTTCCTCCAGACACAGTCGTCAGAGACCTGCGGACGATCTGCCGAATTCAAACCCAACACAATTTTGGTTCATCATGGGGCATTGAATGTTGATGGTGGATTTTTGAAGCGTCTCGTTGTCCACTCATTGAATGAATGCTACTTTGCTTGCTGTTCTGTAGCCGCGTGCACTGGTGCTGTATTTAAGGCCAAAGTAAGTTCTCCCGGTTGGGCATGCCACTGTTACTTTTTAGAACTCTAAAATATGTCTCCTGTTCAGCTGCACTCATGATAACGATTGCACTTACAAATCACGTGAATTTTATGATGTGATACTGTTGAGTCGTGCAACTTCCAATGTTCATCACGGTATGTTGATTATGGGTCTACGCTCCCGTGTAGTAGGAATTGGGCAACTTTGTGGCCCTACGAAAATATGTCAAGCTAATCACAGTGTCTGCTCTGACGGCCGTTGTGAATGTCAATCAGGCTACCTACGCGAAAACTCTGCGTGCGGTGAGTTACACTTTTCGAATTTACTACTGAATGATATGTTTTGTGTCTGTGTGATTCATCATCTGGCTAAGCTTTAAGTGTGCTGTGCTCATTAAATTGCCAATCGGATCGTATCACATATTATTCAAGCAATGAGTATTTTTCACTAAGTTACCCCATCTTACCAGCCGCTTACCCGCCTATCGGTTCACACTTTTGCCATCCCTGTTCACCACAGTTCAGCGCAATGAGGGTGACTATTTCAGTTGTGGAGAAAGGAATGGGTAGTTACCGAAAGATGACGTGCATCCTCTGGGCATTCATGATCCGCATCGATTGAAGTCAGACTTGGTGATATAACAACTGCATCTGCCGCTTTATTTTGAGATGAATCTGGTTGAGGCAATTTACCACAACAGCAATTTACCACCACAGCAGCAGAAATTAACGGTAATCCATTGGATTATCAATTGAGTGTTTCCGACATCTTCGTGAAATCGAACACGATTTCCTCCTGCTTTTGTGTGACAATTGCCAAAACGAGATGCAACTGGAAGAAACGGAGCAGTCACAAGCCGTTATGCAGGCTTACTTATTCCGTTGGGAGCAGCTTCGTTTGTTTGGCCCAGCAAGCTTGTTCGAAGTGCCTCCAAATCTCAGACCGACCTTTTTGTTCATACCGTGCAAACTTACTGGCACGAAGCCCCGGCTTTTGCAAGCAGCGCGGTTTCATTTGGCACAAATTATTTACCTACCTTGTGTCCAATATCACTGGTTTCCCAGCGTGTGCAAGCCTGTGTACTGAGGATCCGCGGAAAGCACTAAAGTTGACCTTCCCAGCAGCCTCGCTAAAGTGCGTGCTTTCAATGGAACCGCATTCGTTCACAAAACAAGGACAAGGTGCCGATGCTGACCACCTCAATGGTAATTTATCACTTTGAGTGCGCCTGGAGCGCAACCTATATTGGTCGAACGGCGCGGCATTAATCAAAATACGTGAACGAACATTGCCCTCTTTGCCTGCGTCAAGAAGGCACCGGAACAATTAGTAGTGTTATTCTGGCCCATATTGTGAACACTGGTCATGAGGTGGATCTGAAACACGCATTCTGCATAGTTTATAGGGTTCCGTCGCACCGATAAAAAGTATACTGCCTTCGTACACTTGTGACAGCTGAAGCAATTTGCATTCGATTGCTCCAGCCGTCCATATGTTCACCGAAGCTGGTCCAGACTCTCCAGCTCCCCTAGCTGGCAAAGGCGGCAGACATCCAGGTCGACTGTCTTCGATCAGACGCGGTAGCAAACAATTAACCCACTAAGGCCTAGTTCCTTTTCTCCTCTCTAACATTGACCCTTACGTGATCTATTCGGTCTGAATAAATTGGTTCGCTTTTTATCCCCCATATGATTGTAATGGTCTGACGATGGTCAAGTCAGGTCTTCAGGGGCTAAACAGACCTTCGCCTAACGAGCGTCCCGTTTCATGTGCCGGTAAGCAAGCCAAGCCTTCCGGCACTTCGACATTTAAGCTTCACTTCTGCATAGACAAAAAGAGTAAAAGAAACGTCTCATAAATTCATAAAACTATTCGTGACATCCTGTTAGTACTAATTGGAATCCACTACTCTCACTACATTTCCGGAAACAGTGGATTCATTCATATGTAGGACTCTTTCAAAGTCTTCTATACTATTACATTTCACTAATGCAAGGGGAAGTGAATTTCAACTACGTACTACGCAGTTATTGAAAAATTTCCCCCCAAGTATCCCGTCTAGGTCTATGGGTCATGAGCTTCAATTGATCTCCCCGCAGGTGGTCTGACGTCGCTGGTTCAAAGAGATCGGCAGGCCTAATGTCCATTAGTCTACGTCGTTCCGATGCGAACAAGCCTAACTAATCCAGGCGGTCAACACGCGACTTCTCACGTTGACCTTTAATCATTCTGGTGGCCAGTCTTTGTACCTTCTCTAAGCAAGCGACTTCCTTTCGAAAATAAGGTTCCTAAGCCTGATCACCACATTCTAAGTGGGGCCGAACCGCCGCTTTGTACAATGGAAGAAATACCCCAGGTTTAGTATTACAACGCTCTCCTGATGCGAAAATGTTCCTGCTGCGCTCTGTTCGCAACATATTGGCACTGCTCCGGAGGTCTGAAGCTATCTACCATAACAATGCCCAATGTCAGGGACCCTATGGATGTTTGCACCGTAACCGCAACGTTCTTGGATGATAACAGCTGACGTTTATTCGCGGTCAATGAATTTCCCATGATTCAGACCACTTTGCTACAGTGCCCAGATCTTTAGACAATGTATCACTATCTCCCCTACCGACAAGCTTTACGTCATCCATAAAAACTTAAGAAGGATTCTCGAGGAGTGGATCTGTATCATTTTTAAACATAAGAAACAAGGTCCTAGCACTCACTGAACGCTAGGGCACTCCGCTGTGCCATGCTGTTCCGCTCCAATCAAGTTGTTAACAACTAAGTGCTCACAAATTCGGGGCCTAATGAGATTTTCTAAGCACCTAATCAGAATACTTGTCAGACTGACATTTTTATAGTCGAGTGGCGCAGACTTGGAGCTCCCTAATGAATTTCCACAACAATCCTCTCTTTCCAGTCATGTGGTAGCCTACCTTCCCGAAGAGGACAGTTGGATAGGTCCAAGACGGTATATTATAGAATATCATCGAGCGGTCTAACAATCGCTAGATGAACATTGTCAAGGCCTGGCGATTTATATTGGCTTTAGCCAGCCAGCTTTTCAAAGACCTCTGGTGCGGTTATTATAACGTTTTGCATTCTAATGTCACATGAGAAGTGTGATTACGAGGGGATTGCACAGTCACTGACCACACGGTGCAAGTGCTGAAAGACACGCTATAACACCTCCGCCTTAGCTGCATCTTCCACAATCTCACTACCATATTCCTAAGTTAGATTATCAATCTCCTCCCTCAAAGAAGCCTTTGATTGTACATAACTGTAATATAACTTTGGATTTTTTTTGCATTCTGAGCTAATTGGAGCTCAGCGATATATAGCTCTCCCCTACAATTTGATTGCTCTAATCTGATATCGTTTATAGTGTAGCTATTGTCTGAAGCTTCCAGATTCCCGAAAGATTTTCTAACAGATATTACGTCTCCGAAGCATCTGGGCAACTTCGTGTCGCCACCAGTGGGGCTTATCCCTGCTTCTATCGGGGCGCAAGAGCACAGTTGCACGAGGCAAATCTTATGCATGCCCCATCTTTGTTCTTACGTTGTCTGTTCTTGAGCAGAAGCCCAAAGGAGCTGGATTGCTCAGTTCCGCAAACGGTTAATATCCATTCGTTTGATAAACTTGAAACGTGTATTTCCCTTTTTAATTTCAAATAAGAATATCAGAAGACGAAGATTGTGGGATGACGTTGTCATTTCCTGCATATCCCTCAACCACCATACAACAACTGAAAGGAATGCAGAAACAAGCTCACATGAAATCAATTTTAGTTCAGTTGTTTTCCGGTTGGTGCGTTGCACGCTGCCACGTTTGGCTTAATGTCACTGTCAGCTGTTTTCGGACACACAACGGTGGGCGCTGTCGATGGACCACAATGGCCTAGAGTAGCTTGAGTACGTGAGGCCTTTGACTGCGCATGAGGACTGTGAATGACTCATCTGGGTTCACTTGGTGACCGGTGATCATTAAATGTCTCGTAATTGCAGAGGCAACTTTGCTTCTCCATTCACCGCGTGCGATCGTCGCATTCTCCATCTGTTTGCGGAGCCACTTTGGAATGCGTTCATTGATCCGCACACCCAGATTTCGAGTGGTGAGCCCAACATAGCTGTCAGCACAGCTACAGGTGCATTTGTATAAGCAGTGAGACTTGCACTGCTTCGACACAGGCGTTTTCATTGAACACTTACTTATTGGTCTTGTGGTCACCAAGAAGCGTAGCTCTGCTGCGTTGTATATCTTTTCCATTGAGGCGCTTATTCTTTTGGCAGTGACTTGCATGATGTGGTCACCTTTGAAAGGCAACTCAATGAACACCGGTTTCTTTGAACCGTTATCTCTCGATCTCGTTTCATCGACTCACTGTAGCGCTTTATGAATTGCAATGGGTAACCATTAGATTGCAATACGTCAAACAGCAGTTCTTTCTCTGCCTCCAGTGTGTCTGTGGTGCAGATCATATGAGCCCGATGGAACAACGTTCTAACTAAAGAGCGCTTGTGATGGATTGGCGAGAAACTCTTAAAATGTAAGTATTGACCTGTCGAAGTCGACTTCCGGTAGACTGATCTTTTTATCGCGCCATCTGGTCATCGTGTGAGCAATATGTTTAAGTATGGGAGACAACTGTCGTGCTCAGTTTCACATGTCACAGTAAGATTCGGATGCACACAATTGAGCGCTTTGGTTGCAAGTGCAATATCATCATCTGATTAACGATATATCATCAGCATATGCTTATTTAAGATTGCGGATTTGATGATGTCTAACTGCTCTTCAATCATACCCATGAATACGTCCGCTAGCAAAGGAGTTAATGGGCTGCCCAAAGCCACAACATCGATCTGTCGATATGTTTTTCCCTGGAAGTACAACTTAACATCTGTTGTACACAGCAGGAGCATGTTTTGCAACAATTCCGTGGGTAACTGCAATCGAATGTTGTTTTTCGTGATAAACTCACATAGGTGGACAACTGTCTTTTTCAAGGGAATATTGGTGAAAAGCAACTGAACGTCAACACATGCGCTTGTGCGCTAAGTTGATGGCTTCGAAATGGGGAAGTACTCCGAAGGTGTTGGACAGAGTGTGTTTTACTAGGGACGTTCTCACTGGTTCGAGTATGCAATTCAGCCATTTAGCAATGGCAAGATCCGGCGAATTTACCATGGAGTGTATTGTCCGCATAGGTAGTCCTGAGTTGTGCATCTTTGGTAATCCATACATCTGTGGAGTGTGTATGCCTAATGACTTTAGGTTTTGATATTCCCCATCTGAGATGAAGCCA